AGGGTCGCTATGAGTCACAGGCGACTCGACGGCACATAACAACAACAAACAACATGTCTATATAATGATTATATGTAATCTGATACACACATGTTTCTGACTCATCTTTGTTTCATAGGCCACTGAAAATTGTTTTATAGTAACTGTTACCTTTTATAATGTGTTTGCACTGTACACATTATACATTGTATGTTACAGTCCTAAAGTGATGTGGAAGTTGCCAACCAAGTACGTTTGCCTAGGAATTTTGACAGTGTAGTACTAATCACAGTTCAATTTTGGACTTCAATTTGTTTTGTTTTGTTTCCTGAGATGAGAGAGGGAGAGCGAAAGGTGTCTTTAGTTTTGCATGTTCAAAAACGCAATATCCTAAATGCTGCTGGGTTGATTGACGCCAGGAATGTGTATTCACACTAATGACACTCAAGAGACTGATGTATAAAGCAGAATGCCAATTTATTAATTTACAAACACAAACATAATTGTTCACGTGGATTTGAGAATAGCAAATTCTCTCCCTGTGGGCAGATCTTCATGGGAGGCCAAATTACAGTAATATTGCTGGTAACCATAGAATCAAAACAAGGTGAGTTAGTTGGACAATTCATATGCATAGTAACATTTGTTAGGATTGCTTGAAGCGTCCATCTCCTCATAGGGACTAGAATATTTGCTTCCTGGAGAGGCTGAAATATTTATTTGCTTTATGGGTCAGTGCACACCACCCCCTTCCTGGGTACTGGATGTTCAGGTTTTTAATTATTCCATGCTTGCTTTGTTGATCAAAACCCTGAAGTGCCATATTACCCCCGCCGTATCAGAAATCGTAGCTGTTTTCTCTCCTTTGAGATTTACTGATCGGTATTGCTGAAGTGGCAATTCTTTCCTTCAAGTACACAGCCTTTCTTGCTATATAGTTCCACCTGTAGATATGAGGGTAAGGTAGAGGTGCAACTTAGTTATTGCTATTTCATAATCCTGTGCTGGCACCTCACTATTGTCAGTGATTAGAATTGTTTAATCAAATATAGGACGCCCAGCTGGATTGATACGATACAGATGGATGACAGAGAAATTTTTTTTAAAGTGCAAGAACGTTCCAAATATTGCATGGGGCGATCTTAAACTCAAACAATTATTGTTTATCTGAAATGAAAATTCTCCTGGGCAGTCACATGAGGCCGTCTGGCTTCGTATTGGTCGGCGATCACCAATTCATTCAGTTGCCACACACAGGAAGAAACCCTATTCTTACTGATTGTTCATGTTAATTGTAGGTAGCACAGAAACACGGAAAAATCTTGACCCTGTGAGGAACCCGTACAACTGGCACAGCCGCAGCCAAGATTGATTCTCAGCCCTGTCCATTCTGGAAGGAATTACTCTCACTCTTCTTCCTTCTCTAGTCCCGCCCTTTTAGTTACTCCCTGTGGACAGTAATCGTAACCCGAAAAGAACCGGCAAAAGTGCCTACGTGGAGTTCAGAGGAGCGGAAGTAGTCAAATTTCACTTAAGCCGTAAGGCGCAACTGGCGGGCTCCCTTTCCGGCTAGAGACAACAGCTCCGACTGTCAGTGCTGGCCTTCCTCGTATAAGGCTATCTGTGGGACCCTTCTTAATTCAATTTCCTTCCCAGTCCGGGCCCTTCCCTATCGTCGCCCCTTCCACCTTGGATCATGTTCAAGAAGTAAGGACACGCTGTGGTCTCCTTGGGCTGCTCACCAAAGCGGTGGGCTTGGGATGGGGAAGAGGGCGAGAGCTATGATCCTCTTTCTCTCTCCCGCTTCCCTGCCATTCTGACTCCCTAAGGTTTTCTCTAGTACTTTGCTCTGACTCGTAGTTTGCAACACTTCTTTAAACTAACTTTCTATCACATCCTCAATTGGTTTTTGGCCTCCTCTCGCCAATCTCCATTTTATTTCTACTTTCTCCTGTCCTTTGCCGCCTTCTCCAATCCTGTCTCAATTTCTACCAATCACGTCCTTACATTGTGCTTTAGGGGCATAGTCTCTTTAACTGAGAGGGGAGCGCTGCACTCACTGCCATGTGTTTGTTATGAACTGAATTGGGGAAGGCTTGACTTCCTGGGTCATGGGAGTGAAGGAGTCTGGGTGACAGGAAGCAAGTGGCCTGTCATGCTTATTCCTTAGCTGCCAGATTAACCTTGCCTTGAAAATATCGTGATCGCCCCATTCATTTTAAGGGGAACAAAAATTACTTGGGAACCCCCCTAGTGAGTTTGCCTTCCAGAATTGGTAGACGCAAAAAAGCAAGGCGGGAACATGGGCAAAGGAAGGTGGGTTCTGTACATGAAATCTTGAGCAAAACCAAATAGGGATTTTCGGAATCAGTATCAGTTAAAAAAAAAAATCTCAGCAGATTTTATAACCTAGCTGGAATAAATGTCTTTTGTTTTTATTTTTACATAGGTTACATTGGTAGCAGTCTTGTTTCTTCTTAGGTAAAACTGAGTACCTACTCAAGACTTCAGGAAAGGCATTTGTGTAGCTGATTATATAATTGGAACTATGCCTCATACTCCCCTCTCCTGCTAACTGCAGTGTATATGAGTTTATTTTAATATTGTTTTAAGACATTGTTTTTTGCTGGATATAATAAAAGGAAAGTGCTATTATTTTATAATTTTAAGTACCTAAGTACATGCTTAGGAAAAGATGACTATTCTGATACGTTTGCTTAGAAATGCCTTTCCCCCCTTTTAAAAATTACTTGGCAGATTTGATGAGAAAGAAAATGTGTCCAACTGCATCCAGTTGAAAACTTCAGTTATTAAGGGTATTAAGAACCAATTGATAGAGCAATTTCCAGGTATTGAACCATGGCTTAATCAAATCATGCCTAAGAAAGATCCTGTCAAAATAGTTCGATGGTAAGTCTTTGTTTTTCTCTATGCAAAGCTTTGAGTAGCTGAATAGTGATTAGGTGGGAAAGCTTAGTGGGAAATAAAAAAAAAGAAATAAAAAAATAGAATTCTTTTCACATTAACTACTGAAAGATTAATGTGACTGGATAAGTAGAATGAATCTAGAATTTACCAATATTCATAAATAATATTTTGTGTCCATCAAATATTTGGCTTTTCTGTACTGGTTTTTAAAAAGGTTTTTTCTTCAGGATTGATTTATTTTGGTTTGTAAAACAGAGGTTTGTTTTAGTCAATTACCTAGCAGTTGAATTAAATTAATAAAATGTGAAATAAAGTTAGTTGTAAAAGGTTCTGGTTTTCTTTTTTCTCCACTTGACTCGTATGATAGGAACAAAAATTAAAAAAAAAATTGGCCTGGATTGCTATATGAAATTTCCAAAGTAGCTTACTGTATTATATACGTATTTCATGTTTTAAATTTTAAGAAGTATTTGACTTATATTCAGTTTTGAAAGAAAATATTTTACTCGATACTTTGTGACTTTTGTCTTACAGCCATGAACATATAGAAATCCTTACGGTAAATGGAGAGTTACTATTTTTTAGGCAAAGAGAAGGGCCTTTTTATCCAACTCTCAGGTTACTTCATAAATGTAAGTCTTGTCAGAATATATAAATTTGGGAATATGGAAAGAAACAAAAGGAATTCCTGTTATTTATTAGTACTATGGAATAAAAAATTAAAAGAAATCCTCATTTCGTGGTAATTATAAAAAATCATAATTCTAATATCTATTTTGGAAAATATATTCATTCAATATTTACTGAACTTACTATGTGCCAGGCACTCAGCTAGGTAGTGAGAATACAGTAAGAAACCAGCATAGATATGATCCCTATCTTTATCAATGTATTTGAGAACAGACATTAGATAATCACACAAATTATATATATATAATATATATATTCACAATAATATATATATATTTTCACAATAATATATATAATATATATATATATTCACAAACTGGTAAGTGCTGTGAACATTTTCACTATTTATAGTTGTATCACAATTTCTCTAAAAGAGAGACTGGTGTATAGGAGAAAACATTAGTCTGACGTTATGAAACTAAATGTGTTTATTGTGTACTCACATTTCCCTGTTATTAGATTGAGTGCATTCTGAAAGAAAATCCAAAGGAAGATACAATACCAGTGGTTAAGAAATTTTTAACTGGATAGTAAAATTCTGCTTTTCAGTTTTGGCATTTTAACCAAGAGGCAGAAGCTGGGATTGCCTGGAGGGTTCTGCTGGTGGTGACTTCTCTAGAGAGTTTGGCATTTTCGTTAAAAAAAAAAAAGTTCCAAGCCTTCAAGTTGCCTTCAAGCTGATTTTGACTTCTATCAGGTTCCTGAAGCTTTAAGTCATCTCTCTCCTGAAAAGTGGCTGGTGGAGTTGAACAGCTGACCTTCCAGTTAGTAGGCCAACTCAGAATGCACTACCTACTAGGGTTCCTTGGCATTTTCATAAGAAGAGATAACATTTTTTAAAACCTAGTGGTACCGAAGTCAGGAACTATAAAGCTGTTAGGCAAGTCTTGGAAGAGATGAAATATTTTAATATTTATAAGAACATAATGACAATTGCTTGATTATTAAATTTAGGTTAAATAAATTGGGATGGGATAATGAAGTAATGATGCATTGGGTTTTAAATAGCCATATTTTGGTCTTATTTAGACAGTTTGTGACACTAATTTATATTAATCTAAAAGATAGTCTTAAAGAAAAAAGCAGAATTTCAAGCTGTAAAAGATGTGCTTGGGGTAGTTGGGGGAAATTTTAATATGGTTTACTTATGATATATAGTCATTAAATTTTGCTGTGAGAATGGTATTGTAGTTATGTCTTTAGTTTTAGGGGATGTGGTCTTATTTACAGTGAAGTACATTGCGTGAGCTTACTCTTAAAAGGCAGAGGGGAAAATGTATGAGTAGAAAAAGATGAAATAAATGTTGAAAAATACTAATAAACAATTATTGAATCAAAGAGGATGATGTACTTTTCTTCCATTGTTTCTATATGTTGAAATTTTTAAAAAAAATTTGTGTTGGGGGAAGATGCTCTTATTTAATAATGTTTTGGTAGAGACCAAACTTTTAGAAATTTTAAATTTATTCCTTATAAAAGCGGCAGGATATATATGATGGATGATTAAAAACATGAACTCTGAGTTAGGTACATCTGGGTTCAATTCCCATCCTTGCTCATTACCAATTATGTCAGTTGACAAATCACTTAACGTCTTTAATCCTTGTTTCCTTATCTTTAAAATAGAGATGACAATTATATATATCTTCCAGGGTTGTGAGGATTAATGAGATAGTGCATGTAAAGCCCCTATACAATGCCTGGAACATAGTAAGTGCTCAATATATGATAGCCATTTTAGTGATGTAGTAATTGGTCAATAAATGTAATTATGATATAATTTTTTAATGAATGTTCATACTACTATTTATTATTATCACTACTACTATTGTGAAATATATTAATGAGTATAAAGATCTAGAAATCAAATTATGATTTGTGAGTAGTAACTACATTTATTCACGTTTCTTTTTATCAGCAAGATGTTTAATGTTTTATATTGAGAGTAAAGATCTAGAAATCAAATTATATAAGCTTGTGAGTATAAATACAGTGATTTATTCAAGTTTCTTTTTATCAATATGGTGTTTAATCTGGGGTCACTGTAAATTAATTGTGCTCTTGGTAGGGGGGAAATCACTGCTCTGTGATAGGTGGGAGGGGTAGTGGTAAAAAAGTGAATAAGCTTACTTATTATTGCCATTATTATTTCTAGATAGCCTTGAGAGGCTTAAAATATTTTTCTCTAGTAACTGTTTGAAACCCTGAAGGGCACTTTTAATTAGATTATTAAATTTGTGTGGACACACATAGAAATTTGGAAAATAAAAAAAAATAAATTGATATTTGGAAAATACAAAGTGTGTAATAGATTAATTATCTGTATTTCCATGACCTAAAAATAACCATTGTTTGTATATTAGTATATGTTCATCTGATTATTGTTGTTTGCGTATGATAAAAATACATGTTTCCCCCTTCTTAAATTGAGTTCTATATTTTGAACATTTCTCATGGCATTAATTATTCTCTACAAATATAGTTCTATTTTATACACATACCTATTTCTTACCTTTTGGTTGAATATTAAAGTTGATTCCAGCTTATTTCTATTATAAACAGTACTCTAATTAACATATCTCTTTATTCTCTTAAGTCCTAGATGTAAACTGAGTCTGTTTCTATCTTTTTTTAGTTGTTGTTGATGCATGTTGTCAAATATTCCTACAGAAATGTTGTGTCCATTTAAAGCCTTCTGGCAGTATAAGTCAGTTTTCCTACATTCATTAGTACTGAGAATTACTTTTCTTAAAATCATCAATTTGATAGAGGAAGGATGTTATCCCTGTTTTATTCTGCATCTATCAGAGTACTGTACATTTGGGAAATTGTTCATGTTCTTTGCCGTTTTTTTGTTGTGTCCTTAGTCGTATTAATTTATATAATGTATTTCTTTTCTTCTAGATCCTTTTATCCTGCCACACCAGCAGGTTGATAAAGGAGCCATCAAATTTGTACTCAGTGGAGCAAATATCATGTGTCCAGGCCTAACTTCTCCAGGAGCTAAGCTTTACCCTGCTGCAGTAGATACAATTGTTGTATCCTTCCCAGGAACATGCATTCTATGTGTCCTTACAGAAAAACATGCACATTGTGTCCTTGAAGAAAAACCTATATATTGTAGTCATGACATTTTTGAATGATCTGCCATCCATCAGGAGAAATTAGATATAATTTTTAGAGGTTGTTCATGTTATTAGTTGCTGTCTTGTCTAGTTGGTTTAGACTCACAGTGACCCCACATGTGCAGAATAGAACTATTTTTGGAGGCTACTATTTTCTTATGCCTTTCTGGTTATATTTGAGGATATAGGAAGTAACTTTCAAAAAGACTAAATTGTATCCCATCATAGACAGTTTCTTGAAAGTTAAATGAGAACAAATTAGAAAATAATCTCAGCTGCATTCCAACCTGGTTGGAGCACACCATTATCAGACCAAGTATATAGTATGAACTTTGGATTACTATTGGAGAGGATACATATGATCACATCACTTCTATGGACATTGCCTTGCCACTTCTGTGTTCAAAATAAAAGCACTGAAGTATGAAAAACAAAATACCACTTGGGCATGGAGTCTAATACCTCCTTTCCCAAACAAAAATGTTGTTTCAGAAGTAGGTAGATAGGCACCCTCTGTTGTGTATATCTACGTAGTAGTATAAGTTGTATATCTTACAAATACCTTGTACTACCAATCACAGATACTGGTTACATAGTAAGTGATCAAATATTTGTGAAACATTGAATGAATGAAAACCAATGGGGGAAAATCTAATTAATAAAAACGATCGTAAAATTGGGTAAATGGAAAGTAGATATTTTATATATGTATGTATATAAATGAAGAAAAGTATTCTGTGAAGATACGTTATCTTTATTTTTATGATTTCTAGGGAGCTCTAATGGCCTTGTCCATAAGGAGTTGCTTCACTAACCCAAAGGCCATGCATCTCTGGAAGTTCAAATCCACCAGCTATGAGTTGGTTCCAACTCAAAAGCAATGATTTTGAGTTAATTGCTGTTTAATTTTAAAAGTACTTTGCAATGAGTACAGAGGGCACATGTACCCGTCAGCATTTACTTCTTAAAATACATACTGCAGTGTATAACTCTCTAGAAGTTTCGATGATAGCCAGGAATATTTCCTTGTTATAAAAAGGCTGAGATTGTTATATTTGCTCTTTAAAAATAGAATGGCAATAGAATTATTGCTTTAATGTGTCCTTTACATAAATAAGGAGCTCTGGTGGCACAGTCTGTAGAGTGTTATGTGCTATGAATTGCCTGTAGTTTGAATCCACCGGCAACGCCGCAGGACAAAGATGTGCAATCACTTCCCATCAAGGTTGGAACCAACACTATGGCAGTGAGTTTGAGGGATATTTTTTAAAAGAGATTTTACATAAAGATCACCAGACAGTGATTAAAACATGAGAATAACTGGTATTTCATACTTTTTAATGCTTATGTACCATAATTTTTTTTAATGACCTATTTGTTTGATTGTTTGTTTCATGTTTTGGAGGATTTTTTTTATAGACACTGAGGTACAGTATTAGCATCTAACTTGAAAACCATCAATGATTATTAGGCACAGTCATATATTGAGCACTTACAACGTGCCTGGAGATTCTGGCTACGGTACCTCCTGCTCACAATGAGTTAACAGTACAGAAGAGGACAGAGTTCAAAATGCTTTACTGGGAACACGATCATTATTTATTGTCCCCCATATAAAAGCATTTTGGTAGTTTTCTTAGCTATGTTTTCAGGCAATAATGGCAGAAGGAAAACAGCATGCTCTGTGTGTTGGAGTTATGAAGATGTCTGCAGAAGATATGTAAGTTTAACTTTAGACCCTCTTAGCTTTTCTGCTAACCTACCCTGGAAGCATCAGAATCACAGGTGAAATCTGCTCTTGTTCATTTCACATCTTACAAGTGTCTTAAGACTAGAAGTTTCATTTCTGATTTTTCCTAAACACTTAGACAAACTGTTGAAGTCTATTTTGTTTTGAGTGCTCTGAAAAGTATTGCAAAGCTAGTTGCTTTAAATGCTTTGAAAAGTAGCTAATTGCAAACCTACTTGTTTTACATTAAAATGCATGTATGTGGAACTTTGGGCATTTTTAGTTTCGTAACACTTAAACTAGGGAGTGGGGGGAGAGATTTTTCTGCTAGTTTTTAAAACAGTGATATGGTTAAGCTAGAGAATATTTGTCTTTTTCGCACTGACCTGGTAGTATAGGAAAAATATTATTAGGTTATTAGGAAAATATTAAGATACAATATCAAAATACATGTAGTATATTTAAAAACACTGAAATCCCATTTGATGACTTAAGTATTCCTATTAATTTTATTTCAGAATTAATATAACACTTTGATATTCTCCTGGTATGGAGGCACCCATTACTCTGCTTGTAGAATCACTAGTTAGATCACTAGAAACACTTAAGACATGAACTACAGTGGAGTAATATAGTTTTATATAGACAATAATGTAAGTGTAATACAAAGTCCCTATGTTTTTAATAATTGCAAAATAGCAATGTACTTTATGAGTAAGCATATAAAAATGTCTAAATTTTTTTTCTCTTTATAGTGAGAAGGTCAACAAAGGAATTGGCATTGAAAATATTCATTATTTAAATGATGGGCTGTGGCATATGAAAACATATAAATGAGCCTCAGAAGGAATACACTTGGGCTCAATATGGATATTGCGTTGTACTTCTGTGCTTGTGGCTATGTTTGACAATATAAAGACGGTGTCCCTGATTATGCTGAATAAATCACTGAATAAATGCAATAGATGTTAAAATTCTGTTAGCTTCAGAAATTATATTGGTTTTCCTTAAAATTCAAGTTAAAATAGGTTAACAGAACTGCTGATTCAACGGCACTTGGTTCACAATTAAAAAAAAATATTTAAAAAAAGACACTTGGTAAGTAACCAATGTCAAACAACTTAAATGTCCTTCTTTAGGTCAGTGATGCAAGATTAAGGCTTGGAATTGATAATTTTAATTCTGGTTTATGCCTGACCACTAGTGAATCTGACATGTTAATGGGGCTTAAAGCTCAAATGGGAATTTCTTCCAGGACATTCAGCAGTGCTCCTTTTCTTTGATTTATGTTTTATATTTTTAATTTTTTACTATGGGAAAGATATAAGAATATAGGAAATAGTATAATGGATTTTTCTGTATCCATTACCCAGATTCAGTTTATACTCTCAACTTATTGCTGTCAGGTCGAAACTGAATAATAGCTGACCCTTTGCAGGTTTTTGAAGGCTGTAAATCACATGGCAGGAGAGTGCCCATCTTTCTCCTGGGGGAGCCGCTAGTGGATTTGAACTGCCTGCTTTTGTGGTGGCAGCACAATTCCTTACCTATTCAGCAACCAGAGTTCCTCTGTTCATTTACAGGCAATATTATTTCATCTGTACTCCATCTAGTCCTCCCTATCTCATTTTCTCTAATTATTTTGAAGCAAATTCCAGATATATTCTTTTCTCCATAGAGGAATGGCATCCACTTCCTAAACAACTCGCCTCTGGAAACTTTATGAACTTTGAGAAACGACTTTTGTTCATAGAGTCTCTATGAGTCGTCCTCGACTCGATAGCAATCAACAACAACAAATGTATCTTTAAGGTGTAAGTGGCCTTACTGTAAAAAAAGCATACTAGAATACTATTGTCATGCCTAAAAAAGGTCCAAGTTTTTCATATCTAGTATCTACTCAATGTTCAAATTTCCTTGATTCTTTTTATTTAATATTTTTTAAACTATTTTTTGCTTGAGTAAGCAGTGCAAAAGGTCCATACATTGCATTTAGTTGTAATTTTAAATCTCTTTTATAAATTCATCTTCCCTCCCTTAAAATTATTTAAGGAATCTAGTCATGAATAATATAATATTCTGCATTTTGTTGACTATATCACTGTAGTCATTGTTTCTGTGTAATTTATATATCCTACAAACTGGTAGGTATAATCAAATTTCAGGTTCAATTTTTAGTGCCCTCTCTTGACTTTATTGCTGTTGAGTTGGGAACTGATGCATAGCTGATCCTCCAGCAAGTTTTCAAAGACTGTAAATCATACAAGAGGAGATGGTCTAACGTTCTCCCGCAAAGTAGATGGTGGATTTGAACTGCCTGACTTTGGGTTGGCAGCTTAATTCTAACCACATACCAAGTTCTCACCAAAGCCATCTCTTGAAGCTGGATCAAAAATACAACCACACAGGTGTGTAGAACCTCCACATTTTGGTCCCTTTTATATCACCTAAATAATGTTTATCTCTTTTAAACAGGGGGTGAGGATCCCAAAACCGATTTTAATAAGAATATTAAGCTGTTTGGAGAATTTAAAAAACAGTTAATGAAATAATCTACTGATAAAATTTATCTTCTTAATCTTGCCGCTACTCTAGTACCTCAGCTGTCTTCATTAGTTGATTACAAATACATGGCACATGATTTTATTTTTCAGCTGGATACAGACATTTACAAGATTGTAGTGACTTGTGTTACAGGTAGATATTAAAAATGAGGGACTATTTATCTTTCAAGATATAGGTGAAGGGTACATACCCAGGTTAAATATCCTCAGATTAAGAAATCACTTCCCATATTAACAATTGGCAATTTCTACGTTAATGTGCGCCTGATCCAGGCCATAATCTAATTACTTGCTGTGCATCATAAAGCTGGACAATGACTAGGGAAGGAGAACTGATGCCTTTGAGGTGTGGTGCTGGAGAAGAGTATTGAATGGACTACTAGGAAAACAAACAGGTTCATCCTAGAGAGGGTGAAATCAGGCTGCTCCTTGGAGGCAAGGATTCTGAAGCTTTACCTGACAAACTTTGGACACGTTACAAGAAGGGACCAGTCCTTGCAGAGGGACATCATGCTTGGGAGGGTGGAGGGATAGTGCAAGAGAGGAAGACCTTGGATGAGATGTATTGACTCAGTGCCTGGGGTAATGGAAGTAGGTATGTCGGAGACAATAAGGGTGGCTCAGGATAGAGCAAGGTTTATGGCTGTTCATTGGGTCGCGATGAGTTGCACGTGACTCGACAGCACACAGCTCAAGACAGGAAGATCCTCGATGAGATGGATTGACTGGGATAATAGGGGTAGGTGTGTCAGAGACAGTAAGGTTGACACAGGTTCAGAGCTGTTGTGAGTCGAAAGCGCCTCAATGGCACATAACAAAAAGTTAGAATACAAATGTATGACTTTATAGAGGTCATACCCACAGCAAGAAATTAGTAAACAATGGTCTTGGTAAGCATGAATCACAGCAAAGGAAGGCTGGTAATATGGGGGGAATCTTTCTTCTTGATTTATTATTATTTCTTAGATCTTCTCAAATCTTGCATCTTTCCTGACCAATAGAGGCACCTTGATGCCCTATTTCCTTTTTAAGTTCCACGTAGAATATTTTTTCTTTTGCTATTTTCTATACTATGTGGTGGTGGTGGTTGGGTGCCATTGAGTTTTGAGTATAACCCATAGTGACCCTATGAACAACAGTTCTGAACCCTGTCCTATCCTGTGTCATTCTCACAGTTCCTAACACACTAGAGCCCACTGCAGCAGTCACCGTGTCAATCCACCCAGTCAAGGGTCTTCACCCTTCCAAGCATCATATCCCTCTCCAAGAAATAGCCCCTCCTTTTGTTACCTTTTATTATTTGTTCCTGATTAAAAAAAATAGTTTCATCAGTTAAACATGTATAAACCCTCTCTCAAGGTAGGTTTTGTCAACAGATACTCCTTTTTCTATGCTATCTGAGTTTATAGCTCCAAAGAAAATTTGTAAGTCATTTATGTCAAGACCAAATGAAACCTTTATTTTTGCTGCTATGCTAATGCTAATTGGCCATGGTTGCCTATAGAATATTAGTACACACATAGACAAATTTAAACATCAATTGCCTGGTTGAACTACTGTTAGAGTAGTATCTGTGCTTGATATGCTGAGGTACACTGCCTACGTTGTTACCTTGGTGATGCTGTTTGTTGTTGTGAATCATCAAGTTGGGACATGGGAGGAGATTGTCCATCCCTCTCCCATGGAGCAGCTGGTGGATTCAAACTGCATGCCTTTGGGATTGGAGTGCAGTTTATTATCACTGGGCCACCAGATACAGCCTAAATAATGTATGTTAACTGCTTAGCCTGAGTCTGAGGCCTTAGCTCATCAGTGGTAATCAGTTTCCAAGATTTAGGCTATGCATGAAGCCAGTTCAAAGGGGTTAAACTGGCGAATTTATCAGCCTCTTTAGGTACCCACATATAGTTTACACAAATTCCCAAGAATAGGACTATAGGTAGAGCTTGTTTTCCCTCTCACTGGAAATGTGTCTCCAGTTCATTATTAGTTTCAAAATTTTGTGTCAGTAACCAATCTAAAATCTAGCCAGTCCAGTTTTACTAAGCCAAAATCAGTCCCATGTAATGGATATTAAGTTCTATTGGGCTCTAGATGATAAGACACAAAGATGAATAATATGCAAGTAGCTCTTGCTCTTAAGGAGCTTTCAGTATAGAGGTAGGAAGTCAGTCGGAATTTTCTAATACTCCAATTTTGTTCAGCAAAATTGGCAAATCACCCATAATCAAATATACAAACATTCCTTATATTGTATCCAAGGTGAGACAGGTAAAAAAAATCAGGTATGTTGGAGTTGAAACAATTGAAGTTTTCAACTTAGATTGTTCTCCCACTGTCCAATAGCTTTAAGGCTCATCTTTTAGTAGAAGGCATATAAATATAGCACTTTAATAGTGGTCTGAGGGCACTGCATTTTTTAAAATATATTAGACCCCAAGCATGGGTAGTCACGTTGTGTACCATGAATCAGAACTGACTCACAGCTAACTCCAGTGGGTTTTCAGAAGCATTTAATCACAGGTAAGGAGACTGCCCATTTGAATCCCACAGAGCAGCTGGTGGATTTGAACTGCCTTACCAGTAAGCCATCAGATCTAATTTGAAGGATATGATATTCTCTAAACATTAGTCTTAGTGTATTTGTCAAATTAATTATTAAAACTACACAATTCTCCTTCTGTATACAAGTCAGCAACCCCTGAGGATACATTATATGTTAATAGAAATATGAAATTAGTTTTTACCCCAAAAAATATAAATATTTTGTTTATCTAGGTTCCTTAATATCTGAAACTGTCTTGCCAGGCTCTTTAGGAAACTGAAAGTGATTCCCAACTTCTAAGTGAGTATTCAGTAAAACTGATTTATAAAGAGAGAAAAATAAGGAAACATATGCATCCTAATCCAATACAACCATCATTTCTGGCATCTCAATCACAAACATAAAAAATACATGGAAGAATTGGGCCACTTAAAATATATCTTAGCCTACAAGTTTTACAAGAAATAACTTGGAGAGCATTGCTGAGTGAACTAAGATAGTCCCATAAGGACAAATACTGTATAAAACCATTATTGTAGAATGAGTATGAGGATCCAATGGGGAGGAGGGTAGAAGCAGAGGGGTGAGATTAGGTGAGGAGGAGAATTAACCACACTATTGTGCAATTTGATGGGTGGGTGAGTGGGAGGTGAAGAAACTGGGAAAGATCCAGTGAGAAAAACAATGTATTGTAACTTTGCAAATAAACCTGTATAAAATAAAAATAAAAAGTTTTACAAAGCAATTTTCTATTTAATATTATATTAAGGCAGTAAAGATGAATCTAAATATAACTGTACTCATGCTCAATAGCCAAGTCTCTCAGCAGTAGCTCCT